AATTACTGATATCTGTCCTTCTTTTCCAGATTTATAACAGGAAACTGGTTTCCTGTCCTTATTTCCTGTTTTCCTGTTTGGATTCTTCTCCTTCCAGCCTTCGTAAAACTGGTAATCTCCCTTCTGATGACTGGTTTCCTTGCAAAATACAAGACTATCTCTGGTTTGTGGTGCATTGATATCACCTGACTATCACTTTCTTCAATAGCTCCCTGAAAAACACTCCTGTTTTACACTCCTTAAATGCTAATCCTTCAGGATAGAACTGCCGTTCCTGGTTAATCCTGTGATGCAGGACCACAGCATCCATTTCACTCTTTTATTTGGGATCGTTTCCCATTTATGCTTAAGCAAATGATGTTCCAAATCTTAACACTTTCTTCGGGTTTCCGTCATACTTTGGGGCACACCTGATGAACTCTCTAATCCTTTTATAATGGGACTCTTCTGATTTACTTATCTCTGCAACAGCTCCACCTGCGTCTTTCTCCGCCCTTAACATCTCCAAGAATCCAGAGTTCCATCATGTTTCTTGGGTTTCTCCAGCATTGCTACAACTCTATCATTGTTCTCTTTCTCTTGTAGCATGTTCTCTAATTTCTTCTCTAACTTGTCCGTCTCTACAAGCAGCTTCTGTATTTTTCTCATTATTACACCCAAAGGGTTTGGCTGTTGATCCTCCATCATATCCGGTTCTGTATCCTACTCGTCACTGGGCAAAGTCGGGTACCCTTGAAAAGGTTCCACTGTAAAGCTTGTCACAGTACTGTCTCGCTGTTGATTCGCAATACTCGACTCACTTGCAGATATATCATCCCCTTTAGTGTTGTTCAACCTCTTGAGCTCCATTTGCTCCATTTTCCGCATCATTACTTGAACTCTGTGAGTGGCTGGTTTCCCCCTGGTACTCTGGTTTCCCCCTGGTACTCTGGTTTCCTCCTGGTACGCTGGTTTCCTCTTGGTACTCTGGTTTCCCCCTGGTACTCTGGTTTCCTCCTGGTACTCAGGTTTCCTCCATATCCGGTTTTGTATTCGATTCTGCACTAATAACTCTATGGTATCATTGTCCACTGTTTCACTCTGGTATTCTGTTAACTCTGGTACTCTATATACTCCGTCACTCTATACACTCTGGTATTCTGTGCAGTCTGGTACTTTATACACTCCTGTATTCTGTACACTCTGGTACTCTATATATTCTGTAACTCTATACCCGTCTGGTATTTTGTACAACTCTGGTACTTTATACACATCTGGTATTCTGTGCAGTCTTGTATTCTAAACACTCTGATACTTGACTCTGCACTGTTACTGTTTCTTCTGATACAGTTTCTCTTTCAGTGTTTTCTCTTATCATATCTTGGTCATATCAATCAGGATTAGGGATGTTAACGTTTTAATTTTTTTGAAAAACGATCGTTTTTTTCGTTTTCCTATCGTTTTTTGTTTCGTTTTCCATTCGTTTTAAAAACTATCGTTTTTTTAAAAAGTTTTTAAAACGATTGTTTTTAAAATGATCGGAAAACGAAACAAAAAACGATAGGAAAACGAAAAAAACGATCGTTTAAAGATCGTTTTCAATAACGATTAACAACCTAATCAGGATACAACTCTATCTGTATTCTTAAGTATGTGTCTTACAAGATACAACTCAATTTAGAACTCCAGGTTCTACAATAATTTCTAGGTCTGTATCAAGCCAGATACAACAATCTCTTGATTCTCAGTATGTATCGTACAGATACAACATGCTCTAAAACTCCAGGTTCTACAATAATTCCTAGGTATGTATCAAGTCAGATACAACAATCTCTTGATTCTCAGTATGTATCGTACAGATACAACATGCTCTAGAACTCCACGTTCTACTGTATCATACTTATTATAGTTCTACTGTATCCTTGCAACATTTCTGATTTTTTTGAAACACCGACCCGCCGTTTTTTTTTTGCTAAATTCATTCACAACTATTGGTATTTTTAAGTAAATATTATACACAGGGATATATCCATCACACAGAGGATTTACAATTCACATTAACATTTACATATTGGTAATATAAAGTAAATATTATACACAAGGATATATCCTTTACACAAAGGATTTACAATTTACAATTTATATTTACATGTAAGTAATATAAAGTAAACATTTTACACAGGGATTTAATCTTTACACGGAGGATTTTTAATTTACATTCACATTTACATGTAAATAATATAAAATAAATATTTTAAACAGGGAGTTAATCTTTACACAGAGGATTTACAATTTACATTTACATGTAAGTAATATAAAGTAAATATTTTACACTTGGTATGATCTTTACACAGAGAATTTACAATTTACATTTACATTTAAATTTACATTTACATTTACATTTACATTTACATTTACATTTACATTTACATTTACATTTACATTTACATTTACATTTACATTTACATTTACATTTATTCATTTACATTTACATTTACATGTACATATACATTTACATTTACATTTACGTTTACATTTACATTTACATTTCCATTTACATTTACATTTACATATACATTTACATTTACATTTACATTTACATTTACATTTACATTTAAATGTAAGTAATATAAAGTAAATATTATATGTGTAGGGAATAGGGATATAATTTTTACAGAGAAGATTTACAAGTTACATGTAAGTAAAAAGTAAATATAATATACAAGTATATATTTGAATATATGAATATATATATACATATGAAAACTTACAATTTACATGTAAATTTACTAATTCTTATAGGTACAAAATACACACAGGTCTCAGATTAGTGAGATCAGTCCTCTAATGCTTTTGCGCACAGGCTGGAAGGGGGTACATTTTGAATTAAATTGTCCATAACAGGGGCAGGAGTAAATCACATTTTTGTACTTTTTTTGCATTAAAGGGTTAGGGGAGATGGGGACTGGGGAGGTTTTAGCAAGTAGGTATGGTTGGGATAGGGGTGTATATTTGGGTGTATATGGAAATTTCTGGGCCGAGCGTTGCGGTTATAAGGACAGGCCAGGGGGCCGGGTGCTGCGACCACAAGTCGATATAGCAGCAGTAAAACCACGTCCTAGTTGGTCGGATGTGTAGTATAGCGGAATTGGCGTAGGTCAGTAGTGGAATATAGCAGATTTGCGTAGGTCGAAAGATACAGATACACCATCACACATCGATTTGAAAGTGAAATTTTTACAAAGACGACATTGTTCTAAATTTATCGAGTAGTTTAGCAATGGCTGACATTGAGTCGATGTTTCCGGTGACGTGTGAAAGTTGAAAGAAAACAATCTTCGTTATTTTTTGTCTGATCTTGACTTGAAAGAAATTAACAAAAATTTTAATTCTGTCAGTTATGAAGTTTATTATTTTAATTTCAAAGCCTTTAATATAATTCTAACAAACGACCGATTTAATTACGTTACAAACCTGGGGGTTAATTTTGATGAACTTGTGGTTTTTTTATAGAGTGTATGTACAAAATTGATGGGTGGGGGGGGGGAGGTTCAAAAATCGTTCTCTTGGACGGACCCCATGACATGTTCTATTTTTATTTTACAGTTACTCAGCGTATTGAAACTTATGCAGTGAAATGGTCTAATTCTCAGTACGTTGTCAAGATAGGCTGGCTGAGAAATTTCTTGTTTAAACATCTAACTCTGCCTCATGTGATACAGATTTATTTATTAATTTTATTATAGGGGGAGGGGACAGAAAGCGGAAGCAAGGAAAATAGTTTATTTTTTATTTCAGAGAATTGAATATGGTCGATTCAGCAGTAGTAGCTCGGGGAGGGTTGGTGAAGCAACGAAACATAGGAAAACCTCGCCCTCTCAGATCAGATCCTGATCTTGTTAATCTCTCCGAGCTGTTCAATCTTGTAGAGGAGGTGGAGTCCGGGTTGATTATCGCCAGGAACAACATGGAAACCAGAAAGAAGACCCAACAGTTAAAAGAGCTACTGAGGTTGAACGGGCAGACCATGGAAACTATGCACAAGGATACGTTGGATCGACTCGAGGTGTCAATGCGGGAAGCGTGTAATGATAAAAGTACAGATATTGTGACCAGGTTAAATATCCTGGAGATGATTGAGTTGAGATTAAACAACTGGAATTCTAGTCCTCAGATGGTGGATATGTATAGACAGAAGCTGACTGAAGCTCAGCTGGATATCGATATGAAGAAGATTGGATACAATGGAGGGGAGAATAGGAAGGAGGATTTAATGAGACTTGACATGAACCTTCTCAAAATAGTCGGATTGAATAATAACAATGTGAAAAGTTGCGGAGATTCAGTGAGTTCTCTAAACCCTGAGAAAGTCTGTTTGTTCGAACATGATCCTGAATTCAGCTCCAGTCTTGAGGTCAATGGTCAGAAGGTTCTCATCTCATCATCCTCGGAGCAGCTCACCAGAATCTCTAAAGACGTCCTCGTCGAGTACTTTGCAATCTTCGAGGAAGCCAACCCCACTGTGGGGAGTAAGACTGGTATGCTGACCTATGAGAAGGATGAGTTGTTGAGGCTGAGTAAGTCTCCTCTGTGCAGAGACGCACCTAAAGACTGGGAGGAGATAGTAAACAGGAATCCAAATATTGCGAAGAAGGCCGGAGCTCCGACCAAACATTTCCTACGCGAGCTAGAGATGATCAGAAAGCAAGAGGCGGCCCGCAGGATGTAATGAATATAATCTAACCTAATCTCCAGTATTTAAGGCGCACGTTACTGATAAATTATTTCATCATTTTTGCAATATTTCTTTGTAAAACAAACTTATCCAATTTTTCATCCTGAAGTTAGTCAAGTTACCCCCTCTAGTAATTCCGTTGAAATTAACCGTGTGATATTTTTCTAGTTCTTTGAAAAGATTTTTTATTAAATTATATATGAAATTATATTTACTCGAATCTCAGATAATCATGTTAATCCAGGTTTTATTTACTAGATTAACAAAATATATGTATATTTTCAGATTCGGATGAAATGTACAGGAACAGGGCAAGGGCGGCCCATGTTCTCCAACCATCAGCTCCTGTAATTGCTCAGGGTTCTCTTCCTCCTGCAGGAGATATGGCACCACCCAACCAGGTTCCGGAGCAGTATCCAGGATATTCAACCCAACCTGCAGGATATAACGGAGTCGGAGAAGTTTCATTTTTCAACCCTTCAACGCTGAATGGACACATGGAACCTCAAATATTTCCTCAAGAAATATCTAGCAAAGGTAATCTTATTTTATATTTCTACGGTTATTTCTCAAACGAAAATATAATTCTTCCTTTACGCCTGATGTACATTTTTATGTGTCAGCTGTCGAATAATGATAAACTGTTATTTTGTGAAACAACATGTCTGTGTCCACGTAATTTCTAGGGACCCTCTATTATAGCCTGGTGCATAACGGATTTACATAGCAGAGAGGAGAAAGGATTTTGACAAACTATTCTTCCATCTTCTATATATAAATTTGGCTTGTCTGTTTGTTTGTTTGTATCCAATAAACGTCAAAACGGCTTAACCGATCGGGCCCAAATTTTTTGTGGGACATCTAGGGACCCCAGGGAAGGTTTATGAATGATTAAAATTTTAAATATTTGTCTCCATCAAAATTCGATCGTCATTAAATTTTTTAAAATTTTGAAAATCCGTGAATTTTTTTGTGAAAATCCGCGAATTATTTTTGTTTTGTTTTACGATGTACAGAAAGAGAACATGTTCACAATTAATTTAGAAGATAGGCTAGTGATATAAAACAACGATATCTTCCTCACTATTTCTCAGGTTAACGTTGAGACTCTGGCGATTAGCTATTCGAATTGGGGGTCACTTGAAATTACGCTCACAGTCCCTTTAAGTATTTCTATCCGTATGAATGTCAAATCATTATCTTCTTCTGATGTTGATTTAAGTATATTAAGATTCTTGGTTTGTATTCTTGCTGTTCAACTATTCATATATAATATTTTAAAGAAGCACTACAAATTCTAAAGTATATGTATACATGTATACTAATCTCTGCTCTGATATGCAGTATATATCAGTTAAAAGCTGGCTGTCAAGGAAAACCAAAGAATTAAGCGATTATATATCTTGAAGGGTTATAAACATTTTAACAAGAAGTAAATTGGTCAAAAAAATTTCAACGAAACTAGGTTGTCTAGAGTACATTTACTTTTTTTCATTTGTTAGCATGTTGCTCACACATTTTCAAAACTTTTCCGAAACTTTGATTATTAAGGAGTTTAAAACCTACTTAATAACTTCAGGTATTGGAGCAGCTGAACCTGTGGTTGCTGGAGTTGAAGGGACGGAAGTATCCTGGATGAATCCAGCTTCATTGAACAACAATCTCAATCCTGGAGAGGTCTACGAGGCTCAGTACTATGGTGAGCAGGTGGAGAATAAGGATGAAGGACAGGAGCAGCAGAACCAATTTAATCCGGCTTTAACTCTTGATCCCTCCGGGCAGTGGTACTGGGACTACAATCAGCAGCAGTGGTTTCCATACTACCCAGTGGATCAAAACAAGGAGCAGGGAGAGGACATGGAGAATGTTGTGAACAACGTTGGAAATTTACAACTAAATGAGCAGGATGAGTACCCCGCTAACATGGAGCAAGGTTCTCCAAATACAGAGTTAATGCAACCTCGTCCGAATGATTACGTTGAAAATTTAAAGCGAGAAAGACAGGATAGTGTGATGTCTAATGGATCCCATATCCCTGAGCCAAGCTTAGAACGGAATTCCTCCTTAGAGGTCGATAATATTAAATATCAATATAATTACAGTAATGAACCTTCTCCTTTTCACCAACAGGATCATGAACAGGAATACATTCCGGAACCAGTTCATGAACTTCCTCCAGCCACAGATAGTTCAGCGAGGAATATTTCTCCAGCTGGGGCGGAGAACTATGAAACTGGAACATCTCTTGGACCTCCAGATCTTGTTGATCATCGACCTAACACGTCTCAACCTGAAATAGTGTCAGATATTAGTCGTCCTGTTCTTCAGAACGGAGCTAACTCAACAGCTAATTCCGTACCGCCCCCAGATATGTTTGCGTCCCTTCCTGGAGCTTCTATGGTTCAGAATCCTTTGTACTCTCCTCCAGGACAAGACAATGCGAGTATTCCAGATCTTGGAGCTAGTCTTGGTTACACTTCAAGAGAAGTTCCCGACCTTGGAGCTAATTCCCCACTTGGAGCCAGGCCTGTGGTTGATCTTGGAGCTGAACCAGTAAATCAATCAGCTCCAAACAATTTCGGAGCACGGCCCAAACCTAGACCAGATCTTGGAGGAGAACCTTCGCAAGGTTCACAGTTTGCTCCGGATCTAACTTCTCAATCTGTGATACAAGCTTCTGACAACGCTCCTCTTCCTCCTCCCACACAAACTCAAACTTCAGAATCTGTATCTCATGATCAACACTACGATTTCTACAAAGGTCAATTTGAAAGTGCCATGCCTGATATAACAGGAGGTCGGTCTGGAGTTCCTCCTCCGCTCAGACCCGTTCCAACCCAAGATACACAAGGAAAAGCTCCAGATATTTTGAGAACCGAACCTTTAGTTCCAACTTCGGATCGGAATCTTTTTATGGAGACCGGAGAGCTCAGGGAGGAGGATGCTGTAAGAGTGAATTATCAGGTCCCTGAAACCCTTCCTCCACCTCCTTCCATGAACCAGGCTCAGCAATCAGTCAATAAACCTCCGTCCGATCTTCCACCGATGGTCGGAGGTAATGATCCCCCATCCTTGGTTCGGATGGTTGTTGGAGAATCTTTATCTAGTACTTCTCCTCAGACCTCAAATCAGAGAATGGTTGAGGGCGAATCGACTAACCAGCCCAACATTCTTCAACCTCTGCCAACCAGAGAGGTTGAAGGAGAAGCTCTTCAAGACCCTAGAAATTTCTCGAATCATAGAACAATTGAGGGAGAAGACGGACCTCCCGTTTCTCAGCATCCTCCTCCCACTAGATCCTGGGAGATTGATGGACAAGTCGGGAATCCTTCATTAAGCAGAGGTTTTTCGCGTGTTCCTAACTCTGGGGATTCTCAGAACGAGCTCGGATACAGATCCTCCGCTCCAACCAGTCCAATGGAATCTTCTCCGACTCATCTGATGTCCCAAACTGAGACAAGAAGTGCAGCTGCTGGGTCGGAGAGAAGGGACCAAACTGTGATGGGTGGACCTCCGACTACCAAGGTTCCACCGCTCCCTACCCCAGGTAGAGCAGTGGCTGGACAAGAGTCCTCTACTCCCTACGGGAGCCGACGAAGAGGAGATAATCATAAGAAATCTACTTACGACTCAGATGATGATCGAAACCAGGACTCAGAAAGCGAACGGGAGAGAGATAAAAGATACGTTCAACCCAGGAGAACAGTATCTCCCGGAGCAAGATCTAGCCGGTCCAAACCTACCCGTGGATATGATCGGTTCAATCGATCTTCGACTGAGCGTGAGGACGATTCAGACAGGAGACCTCGAGATTATCGGGACAGAAGGGAGGAGGACCGGGGGTTTAAGAAGGACTACGGCAGGTATGTTAAAGGTCGTTACAAGGACTATCGACGTGGGAGAGAGGACGAAGAAGTTTTTCGGGATGATGATCGGAGAAGTGTTCATGGCGGAGGAGGAGGAGGTAGAAGGATCAAGGATGAATCCTATAGGTACAGGGAGGATCAATTTTACAGAAGAACTAGGAACGAATCAGACTTTGAAAGAGAATCTTTTTACGGAGAGGATATTCTGAACAGGTATTCTATATTATTTTTTAACTTTAATTTTCCACCATCATTTTGCCACTTTCGCCATCTATTTTGGAATAATCGTGACTTCTCTGTCATTAGATCATCCCGTCCTGCATCAAGAGCTGGATCTGTGAGTCATTACGACCCCAACGAGAGCGTGTACGGGAGGGGGATGCAGGGGAGTATGGCGTACTTCCAACATCAGCTGATGCAGCAACAGCTAGCCATGATGAATCCATTGCAGTACCAGGTATACATATTATATATTTTTAAATATATGAAATAATCATTCATAAATAATAAATAGGGAGACTGGGTCTAACAAAAAATAAATGTTTTATTTTACTGAAATACCATTCGTAAACTTTCATAGTTACAAACTCATAGTTAAGTAACAGTTTAACCTCATTTGTGATCGGTAAAATAACTATTTGTTAATTCAACTTTTCGCCTAAACCTTTACTTAAATTAGTTTTTTACCATTTTATCGCAATGACTTGCTTCAGGTATACTCACCCGTATGAAAATGCAAAATTGCAGAATTTTTATTCCTAAATCTCTAGTACATAAAAATTAGTAAAAAACTTTCTATTTCTTGATTTAAGTAGAGCGCGACATTAAGTTCAAATGTTTTTTATTGACATACATTTGCTTGACTGGGTTTATGGAAGGGCATTTCAAGGTTATTCAAACGATTCTCAAGAGATCTCTTACAGCTTTTATCTGAGAAATTTTTTTTTTACTGATTATGCTGTGGGTTTTGTCTTAATGACTTTGTACTCCTGATTGATAGGGTGGCCAAAATGTACGGATTGATTTTTTTTTAACCCTAAAATTGTACGGATTTTACGGATTGTACGGATTTGTTTTCAAATTGTACGGATTGTACGGATTTTTATCCTGGAAAATACACCGTTTTTTAAAATTTTCACTCATTTCAGCAAATTTTTCATGAAAACAAAAAAAATTCTCGTCAAAATGAAGTTAGTTTAACTTATTTTCTGCATTCTAAATAATATTAGATTGATTAATGTTTCAATTGACAATCAATATTCATTCATAATTTTCGAGATATGTCCAAGAAGTGTTTATTTGAGAATATGTTCCATAAGTACTTATTTGATTGCTTATTCAAGAAGATGTTCCAGTATCCTGTACCCAGTATCCTGTACCNCATGTACCCTGTATCATGTATCCAGTATCCAGTATCATGCACCTAGTATCATGTACCCAGTATTTAGTTTGTATATATGTATGAAGCCAATTTTTTACAGATTGATTCTTGCTGAAGAAGTTTAAACCCTCTTACATGAACTGAACACAAAAGACAATGAATGAAAAATTGAATTTTAATGTTTTTTTTTCAAAAATGGTTTTTTTTCGAAAATTGTACTGATTGTACAGATTTCTAAAAAAATGTACGGATTTTTTAAAAAATATACGGATTGGTTTAAAAAAATGTATGGATTGTACGGATTTTTTTTAAAAAAATTGTACGGATTGTACGGATTGTTTTTCGAAAATTGTACGGATTGTACGGATTTCTTCTGAAAATGTACGGATTTTTGTACGGTTGTGTTAAAAAAAGTTTTGGCCACCCTGTATAATAAATAAAATTAGACTTTTTTATTTATTTGTTTCAGCCCTTTTCTCCAAAGCTGAATGTGGTATTTGAAAAGTCTCTGGATTCGGTAAATAGCGTCAAACTGGTTTCTTTTAATGTTGGATTTTAACGGAACGGATTCACCTTTAGTTTCTTTTAATGTTGGTGGCTGGATTTTAACGGAACGGATTCACCTTTTGTTTCGTTTTAGCACATTTTTATAATCTTTTTATTGGACTTAGTTTTGGGATGGAAATAGAAACATTGTTTTCAATTTTTTATTTATTTTTTATTTTAGATTCAGACAGCTGTGAGAGAGATGGATAAGATTATGGAGAACCCGGAGAATGTTGGGATCTATAAGCAGCACTGGGACACGTACGAGAAGCAACCGCAGTTGATGGAGAAGCTGCGCCTGGAGAACCCGGTCATGCATCATCTTCTCATTCATTTCAAGTCAGTAGAACATCAACATCTATCAAACAATTTTATTTAAGTTTTTATTTTCAGTTTTATCGTTTTTTTAATGTTTCAGGCAAAATTTCTGGCACCTGGTGGAGGACAAGAAGAATATTGTGAAGGAGGAGTTGGTTGAGAATAAGGAGGAGGACGAGGAGATGGAACAGTTTGCCAGACATTTCCACCAACTCTCACCTTCACACAGGTAGGACGTAGAACCGGGTTTCATCTAGGATCAATTTGAGTTCACATTGTACAATGTTCACCCATGACACCCAATTTTTTTTTACCCCGAAACAGGGTCAAAAATATAAAAATATGCCACAAAAAACATTTTAATGCCTAAATAAAAGCCACAAATGATATCTTAACGTTAAAAATCTGTCAAAATGAATAAAATATGCCACTAACATTATGTAAATGCGTAAAATATGCCACAAATTATGTCTTGCCACAAAAAATATGCCATATTTTCATCACAGCTCTGAGAATATGTCCCAAAAAGTATTTAAATTCATAAATCTGCAACTAAAATTATCTATAAGCTTAAAATCTGCCACAAAATAGTGCTAATGTATAACATATGCCACAAGGTATTCCCAGACATATAAAAATCTTCCATAAACAGTAATTAAAAGCAAAAATAATGCCACAAATTATGTCTACGTCATACAAAATTTGCCACACAAGCCTTCTAAGCTCAGGAAATGTGCCACAAACAGTATTTAAATGCCTTAACTAGTAATTAAAAGTATAAAATATCCCAAACAAAATAAAGCTCCGAAGATATCCCAAAAAAAGTTTTTATTTACATCAAAAAGAGGGTGAAAATTATAAAAAGTATGCCACAAAAAACTAACATTTTAAATCATAAATAATGGCCCCAAATGATATCTTAACATTTAAATTGGCCTTAAGTACATAAGGTATGTCACTAACAGTAATTAAAAGCATAAAATATGCCACACAAAACTTGTACTAAAAAACTGCCACAGCTGATAAAAAGGGACAACTCCGCATTCTGCATGAAGCGGTGCACACTTAATGCGATATTATATAAGGAATTCCGCTGGACTGGGAAATAGTAAAATGTGAATTAATGTGTTTAGCATTCCTAAAGCATAAAATATGCCACACAAGAATTTTAACTCGGAAGAATATGCCACACAAAAAAAATTTAAAATTCGCCCAAACTTCAAAAATTATGCCACCAACAATAACCGAAAGCAAAAAATATGCAACACGTAAATTTCTAAAAAAAATGCCACAAATTAGGTCTTGCCACAAAAAAATCAGCCACTCATACCATTAAAGCTCAGAAGCCACAATAAGTATCTAAATGCATAAAATCTGCCACAAATTATAATTAAGCTCAAAATTTGCATGAAATAATAAAAGCGAAAATTTTGGGGTGGAAAATGTAAAAATTTTGCGAAAAAAAAATACAAAAGAGAAATTCTTAATTATGATTTAATGAAACTTCTTACGTTGAGCTCTCTGAGAAGAGAATTCCACAAGTTTTTTGCGCAATTAATTGTTGCACCAATGGTTTTCGCAGAATTTGGGTTTTGGGGGAAAAAATGAAGATTAAAGAAAAAAGGCGAAGAGGGATGGCAAAAGGAGCAGAGGGAAGGGAAAAGGGACAAGAGGGAAGGGGAAGGGAACAGGAAAAAGGGGAAGGGAAGGGGAAAGAGGGAAAGGAAAAAATCACAAAAAATAGTATCATTGGGGAACCTTGAAGTTGATCTTTTTAGAGCACCAAAACACTTTATTATACTACTGAAATCCAAACATTTTCTTTGCAAGGGGGGCTCTGCCCCCACTGCACTCCCACGCCACAGAAAACTTCTTCGAAGTTTGCGCGGGCTTCAGAAACCTGTAAAATAGACCTGTTTTTAAGTTGCGGATCTGGAAAAAAATATGATTATGAAAGGTGGGGAGTGGGGGGCAAGATGAGTCTCACTACTAATACATACCAATGTAAAGTTTTCGTTCGCTGTAAACTCTAATCTAAGCTCAGAAAATATTTCAGCAACACTAACAAAAGACATAGCTACAAAAAAAACACATTTTAATGTAGCAGCAAGTTCAATTCAACTTCTAGGTCTGATAACAAAATTGTAAAAATTGTAAAAAAAAAAGCCACAACATGGAAGCACTACACCCACCACAAAATTCCTAGACACCCTGACGTAGAACAACTCTTCTGTTCCAGGAGAACAATAATTTCAATTCTAAAGGTGTGAAAAAAATGCTAGGGAACAATAAAAACATGAGTGAACATTAGATAAGCTTGAAAGGATAAAAAGGTTCATGAAAAGTGTGAAGAAATTTGAGATTTGTTAGAAGGTTGATTGGAAATAGAGATAAAAAATAAGTAATTAGAAATAAAGATAAAAAAAGTTATAAGGGAAGAAACTTATACCTATATCTCCAATATTATTACCAGATTTTTTTAATACCTTTTAGACATAAAAAAATATTTCAAGTTATCTTATTTAATTTTTGGATAATTAAAAACCTGTAGGAAAACAAGGCCAGCTGCACTAATGTTCAAATGTTGGCTAATTATATAATAAATTAAAAACTAACCTGGATTTCTAACTAGGCCTGAGTCTAGGCAGGCTGGACAGGAATCTACAATTCATGGGACGGATGACTCAGGTTGGAGAGAATCTAGCTCTGTCCTACCGGAGAGGTTGACTCCTCTAATGTTCTCAAGACCACACGTATGCGCAAGGTTGATATTTAAAAATATGCATGTACAAATAATAAAAAAAACACTGGTTTTTAATCTTAAAGTTATTTTTTTGCGAGTTAGAGTTTCATTTTAGCCAAAATTTTAGCATATTTTACTTTGCATCAAATCAGAACAGATTTTTTTTACAAGAATTCAACATTAAACTCTTCTAAGGATTAATTTCTCCCTTATCTTCTTCAGAATTTCTGCCTCCGGAATTTTGATAAAAGTTGAGCCTGCAGCTCCTAATGAAGGTCAAACTGCTACCGTTGAATTACATTCCATATCCGCGCTGCTCTCTCATACGAAGGAGCACCGTCAACTTTCAGCATTCCCCGGACCCCTCAACCCTCGGGAAACTCACAAGAACGACGTGATCAAGTTCTGTGAGCGAAAGATCAGTGAAGGACGGGATCGGAGAATGATGGATCGTGAGAGCTATGAGCTCCTGTGGAACATGCTGATCCTACTGCTCCGACAGAAGGGTCAGGTCGAGGGAAGTGATCTAGCAGATTTATTACTCCGAGAAAGCAGGTCAGGGTTTTATCAATTGTTGAACACAACACTTAATGGTTGAATTAAAATTATATAGCAAATATGATGAGATTTATGGCTCTAAATGTTAATGGCCAATCAAAGCCCATTAATCGCTTTACATGGCAATGCCGCGCATGTGACTTCTTAGCGTGCACAATCCAAGTATAACCAAGAATTGTTAAAAATCCGAACCTGGTAATTTTTTTTTCTTAATAGAGCTGAGAGTGGCGATGACTTTAATAATCGGAGTCGAGCTTCTTCCTACCGAGGAAACCAGGAAAATTCATCCGGACACCGAGGGAACCCGGAGCAAAGAGAAGAGTCCTCAGCTTCCTCATTACACAGTGAAGATCACGGGGATAGAGTCACGTTCTCTAAATCCGTAATTAATCAACCAGCTTCTCAGGTATATAATAATATTAGGACGACAAAATCATAAATTCGTTCTGTTTTGATGGAGCTCCCGAATTCCCGAATTCGATCCTTGAATATTGGTGTTTTATTGCTGGTTGCATGATTACTATTTTATTCCTGGCAGATGTTAGTGCCAGGCCAGAGTTAGTTATTAGTGAGTAAGAGTAAAAAATTCCAATTATCAAACTGAACTTATTTTTAAAATTTCAAGCTTTGCTGTTTTAATCTACTAAATCATAATTTAATATTATAAGCATTTAAATGATAATGCGAAGATAGCAGAACCTGACCACATTTGTTATCAATGTTTTCTGAAAAGAAACTGATTACTCGCCGAAAAGTTATTTTTAAAATTTTGATATTTCTAACGTAGACTTATTGATCCAGCAAAATTCACATTTTGAAATTCAAAGTTCTACGACATCAAGTTGCAAAGATATGATGAGAATAGATTAATTTGAAGCAAATAATTAGTTCCTTTTTCTGAATATTTAATTTTTTAACAAATTTAATTTGTATTTTCTCCTAAATATTCAATTATTTAACAAAGGAATTGACTCTTTGCAACAAATTCTGATTTTCTAATTCCTCCATTATTGCAACTCAATGTCGTAGAACTTAGATATTTCAAACTATGAATTTTGTTGAATCTAATAATCTTAAGTTTAAAATATCGGAGGTTTACACCATCAGAGTCTAAAACTAAAGAATGCGCGAATTTTAAGTTCGAGGTTAAAAGTTCTGTAAAATTATTAGTAGCTACTTAAATATTAAACTTTCTCAATTTTAAATTTGAATTTCCCGGGAAAATCTGAACCAATTAGAGAAAAGGATTTACGGAGAATATTACATAACCATCGCTAATCAGCTGATTACGTAACCGAAAACAAAACATATTTCTAGTTACAACCGTATTTTGGGTTTACAAGCAAAAATTAATTAATCTAAAACGTGAAATTTCTTTAACAAGGTTTTCACTTTTAAATATAACGTAAAGTTGAATGCCACTTTCTCAGCTGAATGATGATTGAATAATAGACAAATAGGGAAAATGCAGGATTTCAAGATTTTAACCCTGTGTTTAAATTTTAACTCGTCGATTTCGGCGGTTAAAGTTCAGGTTTAAATTAAGTCAGAAGTGGCATTTAACCATGAACTTAGAATTTAAGTCAAAACTGTTCGTTCTTTAGTTTTAGACTCAGGTTGCAAAGATAAAGGGATTAGAAAGGGCAAAGACTCAATTCTTTAATTCTAGATTTATTTTAGGATGAGGTTGTCTCCAGGTTCCGTTCCTACCTACTCCATGGTAATAAACAGGAGGGGTTGGAGTTTGCCATGAACAAGGGTCTGTGGGGACACGCCCTCTTCCTTGCTAGTAAGATGGATCAGCGGACCTATGCTGGTGTAATGACAAGGTTTGCCAACGGTCTTGCTGTCAATGATCCTCTGCAGACCTTGTATCAGCTGATGTCTGCTAGGATGCCGTCATCAATGAAATATTGTGTAGACCAGGTCATTCTTCTATCTATATACTTTGCTTGTCTTGTCTGTCTGTTTGTAAACAAAACGGCTAAACCGATCGGGCCCAAATTTCGTGTGAGGCCTTAAATGACGCCAAGTTTTTGATTTTTGTAAAATTTTGAAAATTTGCAAAACATTTTTATTAAATCCGCGAATTTTTTTAGTTTATTGTTTTATATAGTAAAAAGAGAATATGCTCACACATAGAGCCACAACTAAAAGTTGAAATAGAAGTGTAGTATTTTGTATTATATCATATCTGTTCGGTTCCATAGTAGTAAACCTATCGTGTAAGAATTCCCATTATTACACGGTTCAGGAGGAACAATTCTAATATTGTTCGCTTCCTTGCGTTTAAGAATGCTTATTCTTACACTGTAAGTGTAGAATTTTCATTCTTTAACGCTCAGACCGTGTAAGAATGGGAATTATTACACGGTCAGAGCGTGAAAGAATGTATATTCTTACACGCTCCAAGCATTAAAGAATGGAAACACTAGTTGAAGAATATTCATTCTTACACGCTCCTTATATTGATCTTTTCAGTATAGAACAATATTGATATTAACTTAATTATTTTGTACTGACAACATGCACAGGGCAAACTCACCTTTTTCTTTTACATTAATACATGCAAACTTACCTTTTTTAACTTAAAAACAACATGCTCACTTACCTTTTTCGTTAATATTAAAACATGCAAACTTACCTTTTTTACTTTAGTAAAACATGCTCAATTACCTTTTTCGTTTTTTGAAGTATTGATATACCTTAATTCAGAAATATCAATTTGAATCTCAACCCTAGTCCTGACAGAAGAGTGGAAATTAACATTTTCTGACCTTTCCCAAAAATATGGACGATGCCTTTAGCCTTACATTAGACACTTTCATCAAACTGCCGAGTCTTAAATTTTTTTAGTTCATTTTCATTTCAAACCAAGTTTGGTGAGATTTTGCAAATCTCTGCATACTTGTAATAGTATGGTCAGAGCTTTTCAGTCTGAGTCACCATATCTCGCATAGTTCGAGATGATGAAGTGAAACCACAATCAAAACCAAAAAAAAGTATAAAAACTTATCATTGAAATATTAGTGTCACACTTTTGATGAAGTCTTAGCACTCCATAGCAATGAAAACAAACCAGTAAATCTTGCTTCATGAATAAAAGACAAAGATCTTCATCAGTTTAGGTCGAACTGATTCTTACTAGATAACCTGCTTTTATCTCCTCTTTTTGGAAGATTTAGGATCTAATATCCAGAAAATGATTTCTTCTATAAATGAAGACACGATATTGTTCAGTAGATTAAGACAACCCACGACTATACCTTCTCTCCATCTAAAAAACTCAGGGCACATTTAACATGCTGTATCTAAATGTTGTATCAACTTAAAAAACGAGCAAAATCATTGGTAAACAAACAAACTAAACTAAGGAAACAATCACACCACATGCATTACTTTCAAATTAAGAACCAATTTTTACTTCTAAAATGTTTTTTTTAACATTTTATAACATTAGAAAAATAAAAAAACAGTGTTAGTCAGAACAAGAGCATAAAACTTATTTGCAACCTTTCATAATGTGAACTGTTCCAACTTGAAATAGTCGGTTTTCACCAGAATTATTTTTTAATATAATTTCTTGGGTATGTGCCCATGGAACCTCACAAATATGATATAATAATACATCAAGATTATTTCATCTCGTTTAAGAATTTCCATTATTACATTCTTTTCCTCATAAGATTATCATATTATTCAATTTAATGTGTTTCCGCATTAAAGGGGTAATTTTTTTAAATAGAAAATACCAAGCCTTCTTTTTGACATTATTGTGAACTTCTGACCGTTGGTTTGGTTAGGCCCAAACTCAAATTTTGGTCCGAAACCTCGGGTGATTAAAAAAAATGTATATTTAAAAATCACGAAACCTCGACCTCCTCTGAAGGAGAGGGCCTTACTAACCTATATAGAAAACATGGTCAGATTGTAATTGGGGATGGGGATCAAAGACTAATCTTGAAGTATTAATCTTGAGAGTTCTGAAAACTTTAGCAAACTTTAACAACTAAGTGTTTAATAGCAGCAGCGCTCGGCCCCCTAGCCCATCCTATTCGCAGCGCTCGGCCCAGATATAATCCCAACCTAACCTAACTCACGATATAGTTAACATGAGCATTGAGCAGATTGTAATTGTATTACAGTTAAATGTGAACAAAATGTGAGATTGTCTGTAATAGGTTTCGCGGTTTTTACTTAATATTTGTATGGATATTGTTTATTGGGGCCTTGAACTTATCACATGACCAAATTTGAGAGTTAGGGCCTTACCACTATTCCGCTGTAAGGATTGAACCCATTATTGCAGTATTATTTTTTAAAAAAATATTACAAAAATTGAGATTGCTTTTTCGGGGGTTTCAAAATTACTGGAAATAAAATAATTTTTTCAGCTTGATAGACAAAGTGTTATAACATCTAATATAAAAATAAATATATCTGTCATTTTTTTAAAGAAAGCATTGGGTCGTTCAACACTTTGTCATTTAATATCTATCAAAGATAAATGAAGATTGTAAAGTGTTTTCTAAATCTTATGTTAAGTGGGACACACTGTATCGTTTAATAATCTAAGATTCCCTCAGATCTTATAATTATCTCTTAAAGCAGTGCTTAGGATCCGTTGGATCCGCAAGATTTTGGCATCCGGATCTGCAAAAATATGCGGATACACGGATCCGGATCCAATGGGCAAAATAGCATCCAAAAAATGCAAAAAAAAATTACTCTCAAGACCCAAATCTGAACTATAAAAAATGAGATTATATAAATTTTCTGATTTCTGAATGGTTCATCAAGGTTTAGCATAAAAATAAGCGAAAAAAAGGACAAAATTTGAAAATTCTGTTTTCTTTTAAAAAATTCAGTCAATTTTAAAGAAATAACCTGGATCCAGATCCGGATCTATTTTTTTTTTCAGTGCGGATCCAGGATCCCGATCCGCATCAAAATTAAATGGATCTAAAGCACTGTTAAAAGTAAAAAATAAATTATTTTTGGTAATTTAAAAAAATTATAATTTTCTCTTACTCCCTTACCTGGGACCAGATTAAATGAAAAGGAGCTAAGCTATGTAAAATGAATTGCACCATTTCACTTCACCTTGACCAAGCTTACGAGAGAACTAGTTGAACCGGCAGTCCGTGGTTTAACTACATCTGCTATTCATTAAACTTAGTCCCAGAAGTTTTATTTCAAATTCCTGATTTAAATAAAGTTTAATTCTGAGAAATATGAAGATGAAGAGTAAAGACTAATTTTATATTCTGATATAGAGATGGGGAGACTGGAGACCACATCTAGCAATGATACTTTCAAACCCTCTGCCAGGATCAGATATTCATAGGTACAACCAAAGTCGTATATACGGGGGGGGGAGCTAGCTAAGGGGGTTCTCAGGCCCTATCGGGTGCTGAGAACCCCTGGAAAGGAAAAACATTTAAGCCCCCTCGGACAAATTCCCTACATAAAATTAACAACATTATAGACTTTTTTACACTTTTACTACTTTTGCAGTTTTTGCTCTGATTGACGATATTTAAAATCAGATGCCAATCTTTAAGTGCATTACAAGTTTACTAGATAAAAAACAGATTATGTACATTTGTTTTAGCCTTCATGAAGGTTTTCTTCCGGAGAAACAAAACCTTTATATTTCATTATTTCCGTTCACATGTCAAAAATGTCAATATTTAATGAACGACAAAATTGGATAATTTATTTTAATTTTTGTAAAATTTCTTACTTAAAATATTTTTACCTTTAAAATCAAAAAACAGGCTTTATCCTGAATGTTTAACGTTAATTAGGATTTTAAATGTAATTGTATTTATCATTGTTAAGGAGATCTATGATAACACTGGGAGATACTCTGGCCAGCAAGGGTCAACTGTTTGCTGCGCAGTTTTGTTATATCGTAGCAGCAGTAGACTTCGGAACTTATACTAAAAAATCATCTAAGGTAAATTAATATCAAATTTAATAAACTCAAATAAATGATATTTAATAAATGAATAGTACACTTTTGATTCTGGCCTTCCTTCAGTTGGTTGAAAAAGTAATAATTACGGGTTAAAAGCTATTTTAAGAGTTTAGAATTAAACCAGTCTGTAATCTAGAATCCCACGGGGGGGGGGGGGGGCTTATACTGGATTTTAAATAGATGCTTGGCAAGACAAAGATAAAATTTATTATTTTTTTACAGTCATTGATTCCATGTCAACGTAGATATCCTATATATAATAATTTATATTTCAGTCTGCCCCCCCCCCCCCCCCTCTTTTATTCGTGTTTACACAATTATTATGTTTAGTTGGTTCTCCTTGGTTCTGCAGTTGGAGATAAGAGTGTGGAGGAGTTCGCCACCAACGAGGCAATACAGTGCACCGAGATCTATGAGTTCGTCCAGAAGCTTGGCAATCATGAGTTCGAGATGCCAACCCTACAGGTATTAATAGAATAATTTTAACCTTAGCAGTCGAAACTTATGTACAAGATTGCGCTAATCTACGACTTTTGAATTAAGCATCCAAATTGAAAATCTAATTTGAAACTTTAAAGTGATTTATCATAGTTGACTTTATAAGCAGACTAATAGTAATTTCTCAATCTTTTTTAACACGGTACGTGCACAAGAAAACTTGTAAACCCTTTAATTAATTATTAATAATTGATTGAGATCGGGCTGAAATTCCAGAGTATTTCGCTATCTCAGACTACAGCAGATACGAATTACTCCATTCTGAAGGAATTAACAATACAAGTACTGTCACAAGGATCCTTCCCTATTCTAAGTTTTGTTTTCGTTCTATATTTAGCCGCATTATACTTCTTGTTTCAGCCATTTAAATTCCTGCACGCTGTACGACTTTGTGAAGCTGGATTGGCAAGCAGAGCTCAGGATTATTGTCGGGAGATTGCAGAGTACGTAATGAGGAATCCGACCAGGGTCGAGACAGATTTTCTCCCGGATTTCCTGCAACAGTTGTCTCATCTTTCAGAATGTCTCAAATATCAGGTCAGTGATTGATCATTTAAACCTGTTGAAGTGAAAGTTGAAATTTGATTAATTCCTTATACTCTAAAAAAGTTGAAAAATCGACGAAAAATTGAAAATTAAAAGATTATATTGAAATGTAAATAAGATTAAGAAATGTTTGAATAAGAAATAAATTTAGAATTGGTTATAATTGCAAAACTAAACTGAGAATTTGGTTTTAAAAAATGGAGATGCTATAGCTGAACTTAGTTGATTAAAATCTTGATTTTTTAGGATCCTCAGTATACAACTAGTTCCGGAGAACTGAGCGAAATTGCAGACCCTGAGTGGATGACTAGGTTTAGAGATGTGATACAAAATCTGACCTACGGAGCTACAGAAGACCACACTCAACAGGAATCCTTGTCCTATGGAGGAGAAGTAGAACATAACGGATACTATGATCAGCAGTATCAATACTATCAGGAAGGATACGAGAACACGGAGCAGGAAACCAACCAGGCGGAGTATAACGAGGAAAACCAGGAACCTGGTTCTGAGGAAGTGCAAGAAACTCCTCAGGAAACCTTGGCTGCAGAAGACAACAATGAGCAGGTCCCAACCCTTCCACCTTTATTTAACCCTGCGGAGTATGCCCCCCAGCCTGTAGAACCGGAACCTGCTTATCATCCTTCTGCCGAAGATACAGGAAGGAAGAGTTCTATCACAGAAACCCCAAGTTTTTCCTCTGCAGCTGGACAAAGGAGCAGACAAGCTTCAATTACAGACCAGCAGAATTTTGGTTACTATTCTAATATTCAACCTAATCATCCTCCAGTTCTAACACCTGCTACCCAACCCAACCCGGCTCCAACCCCTGCTCCAGTCCCTAATAAGCAGACTACACCTATGGAGACAAAAGTTAAGAGTGGAACGGACTCGAAGCAAAGCAACGGAAAACCCTTAAGTTCCGCTCCTAGTAAGAAATCTAGTTGGTTTGGTGGCATTTTTGGGAAAATATTAAAAGCTCCGAACCAGGTTCATCTTCCGGATGATTCTGACAAAACTATTGTTTTCGACGAAAAGTTGGGAAGGTGGGTAAACCGGGACGGCGACGAAGATACCCTTGCTCCGGCGGCTCCGCCTCCAATGGATCCAACATTCATGAACTCTTTGCCTTCTCCGGACTCTAAGCCTGGAATGATGAGCTTACCCGCCGGTTCTCCGCCAGCTCAGAGCTTTAGAGCTCCAAAGCGTCGAGGACGTGGCTACGTTGATGTTTTTGGTCAATCTGGAGTAACTAAACCTGTGACAGCTCCACCAATGCTGCTTCCTACGGACTCTAGACCCACCAGTCTTCCTGTTTCTCCAATGATTTTCAACCCAAGCCTGAGTCCGACCAGTGAAGAAGGAGGTCAGGAGATGATGTCTTTACCAAACCTTGAGACGAGTTCTCAGGTCGGCGGGAACCCTCCTCCTCCTATGATGATGTTCAACCCCAGTAGTATGGCGAGCGTCACGGATCCTCCAGCGTTCTAATAGTTTTCAGTTCTTCAAACCAGTGAAAAATGATTCCTTGAAAATCGGAGCTAGCTTGTAAACCGCCATTTGTTTGCGGATTACCCACATCGTTTTTACCTGGGCCTAGTTGTTAAAAATGTGCTGATATTTATTCCTAGTTTCATCCATCATGCTCCTTCAAATATCATTCACACAGAACACAGTCGAGATCAAAATATCTCACGAGCATTTGGTTGCGGATACTTTTATACACAACTTTATCAGTCAACAACTTATTGGTGCAATCAGTGTTGAGGTTTTATGTTAAATTTTAGAGAGAAAAAACCAGAAGCTGTATATTCTTATCCTTGTTTTCCTTGGTTCCCTTTAATCTATTGAAGTTAGTTCGGGCAAATTGTGATTATATATATTTATTATTTATGCAGTTAATTTGTCTTGTATAGTAAGTTCAGTTTTAATACAATTCATATTTATTGGATCATTGTTTCCGAGTGATATTTCTTTACAAGAACCAGGAGTGGAACCATTAAATTGTGAAAGGAAGGAATTCCTTGACACAAACTCTGATTTTCTAATCCTTTCTGCAAAAAAATGTCGTTGACTTCATAAATTTCAAACTAAGAATTCTGTTGAATCAGATAATCCAAGTTTGAAATATTAAGGGTTTACATCATCAAATCAAGTCAAATCACAGGGGGTAAGGAAGACTAGGATTAATAGGATATGTGGGTAGGAGTAATTAAGGTCCTAGGATTAATAGAATATATAGTTTAGGAATAATTAAGGTCCTAGGATTAATAGGATATGTAGTTAAGGAGTAATTAAGGTCCTAGGATGATTAGGATATCTAAGTATGGTGAAAAAAAGGCCCTAGTATGAATAGGATATGTTGGTATGGAGCAATTAAGGTCCTAGGATTAATAGAATATACAGTTAAGGAGTAATTAAGGTCCTAGGATTAATAAGATATCTAGGTATGGTATAATAAGGTCCTAGTATGAGTAAGATATGTTGGTATGAAGTAATTAAGGTCCTGGGAATAAGAGAAAATATAGTTATAGATTTATTAGGGTCTTAGGATTAAAAGGATATCTAGTTATGGTGTAAAAAGGCCCTAGTATGAATAAAATATGTTGGTAAGGAGTAATTAAGGTCCTAGGATTAAGAGAAAATATAGTTAAAGATTTATTAGGGTCCTAGGATTAAAAGGATATCTAGTTATGGTGTAAAAAGGCCCTAGTATGAATAAAATATGTTGGTAAGGAGTAATTAAGGTCCTAGGATTAATAGAATATATAGTTAAGGAGTAATTAAGGTCCTAGGATGATTAGGATATCTAAGTATGGTGAAAAAAAGGCCCTAGTATGAATAGGATATGTTGGTATGGATTAATTAAGGTCCTAGGATTAATGGAATATGTAGTTAATGGGTAATTAAGGTCCTAGGATTAATGGAATATGTAGTTAATGAGTAATTAAGGTCCTAGGATTAATAGGATAGCTTGATACGGTGTAGTTAAGGTTCTAGGATGAATAAAATGTATGATTCTTTAGTAAAAAGGTTCTATAAGGATAAATAGGATATGTGATTCTGAAATAAATAATGTCCTTGGGTGAATAGAAAACTTCAAGATTAAGACACTCAAATATAACTCCATCAGAATTATTAGACTAATTTCTATCTACTGCATTTGACAATTTTGGGAAAACTCAAAAAACGTTATCAAATATACTGCTGCAGCTAACCAGGCATCATTCTATGGATTATAAACGAAATTATACGGTCTTCTTTGGAGTAGCATCCATTGTTGTTAATTTTTCACAAGGAAGATTTTATTGTCCTTTCATTTCAAATTTTTATTTTTACTCAGTTTTTACAGTAAATCATTGTATGTATAATATCTGATATTTAGTTGATTTTTAAGATAGAAAATGGCAACTGGATATACAAGGTTGACTGGTTCTGGTGACGGTTATTCGATAGATCCTAGATCTGGACGACCAAAGAACGAAGAACCGGAAAAACAAATTCTCATGAAGTTCGCTCAGATATTCTGGAAATCCTTTAACTCAGAAATCAACTCTGATCTTCTGATAACACAGTACGAGGAATCATTTCAGAACGAACCGGACTTTAAACTTCTGGGTTATAAAAGTTATTTCCATTTTCTTATTTCAAACTTAGATTTCTTCAAGATACGATTACAGGATGCCAGTAGATATGTGAGTCTCCATGAGAAGGGAAAATTAAGTATAGCCAGCCTTCAGGCATGGGAGGAGAACGAGGAGATGAAAGCAAGAGAAGAGCGCGAGTCTGAAATCAGGAAGAAAAACATGATTGAATCCATTCTTGAGGGGGATGATATTGACCAGCCTACACAGCTTACATCAGGAATATCAGGAATAAGCTCAACCTTTGTATGTATTCCAGATTATGATGACTCGGATATTTCTGCTTCATATCAATTCCTTGCTATACCGTGGATTCTCATCCGTCAAATAATGGAAACTGTTGACTGTTGTTTACTCCATGGCGGGGTTCTAACTAGTGATTTTAGCGAGATGTTTACTAAGATACATGGAATCTCTTTTCCGAACCCACTTCTGTTTGGGTTTCTTGACATTAGGCATATTCTCCTCTACCTGCAGGAGATGAGTTTGATCAGGTTGGCTGGTGACAGGAACTCAGAAATTGTGATCTGCAGTTTAGCTTCAACACCTTATCGACAGATTTCAGAACAAGGATTTGAGACGGAAGTTGTCAGGTATGAACATCTACCTCTCTTCAAAACAAACAAAATAAAAGTTGGAGATTCTCTAGACCTAGTTATATACGAGATCTACACACTGAAAGAAGTGTACTGCATTGAAGTAAAGTATATACAGGATAGTGTGATGCTGAACAAAAATATAAATATGTTCTATTCACAGTTTCAAGCTTATTTCCGTATCAAAGAACATAACGTCAAGTTAGGAATGCTGGTTGCAGTCAAACACGACTCCGGGTTCTGGATGAGAACCAGGGTTGAAGAATTCCTTCAACCTGGCGTGGTTAATGTTTTCTGTGTAGATGATGGGACTCGAATAAGTTGTCATGTTCAAGAGCTCAGATATCTTTCCATTAGGTTCGGGCACTTGCCGGAGCTCGCGATTAAAATAGAGATATACGGACTTGATGATACTGATCCGTTGGATCACCCAGGCGCTAAGAAACTGGCGGAGCTTATCCAGAATGAAGCAGAGGAGAAAGAAAAGGAGGAGGAAAATGGCAGGAAGGGGAAGGAAGAGGAGAAGGACAGGAAAGTAAAGGAAAAGGACAGGAAAGGGAAGGAGAAGGTCAGGAAGCAGGAAGGTAGAAACGATGAGGACAAAAGCAACGAAGAAAAAGATGATTCTAGTGGTGGTAGTTCTAATGACGATGATTCTAGCGACGAAGACACGGTAAAGGAGGATGAAAAAGATCATTCTAGCGACGGAGACACAGTAAAAGAGTACGAGAAAGACCATTCGAGCGACGGAGACACACTAAAGAAGGACAAGAAAGACCATTCTAACGACGGAGACACAGTAAAGGAGGACGATGAAGAACTTTTGGAGAACAGGGTTTTCAAGGCTGTTGTAAAAAATGTAATAATTCACAATGGAACCAATCTCCAGGTTATATTATTCGACCCTGCACGTGATCTTAACATCAACAAGGCCCTGTTTGAGTCTGGTTGTGCTCTACTGCAGCCTGAGCTTAAAGATCTAAAGTTTTCTCACTCCAGAAGGATCCAGAGAGAGTTGAATTTTGTCAGTAAATGTTATTCTAAATTAGCCAATGAAGGTATACCAAGCAAAGATGAGCAGAGAGTTTTCAAGCACTTGGAAAAGACAATTCGTTCTGAAACAGTTGATGTTTGGAAGAATTAGAGAGAATATTTACACATTGTTGTTGTAAACAGTATTTTTTATTTTTTTTTTGTAGTTAATATTTTTCACAACTTGTGATTTGAAGAATATTTTCCAGAAATATTTCATTTTTTTTAATAAATTCTAATCAAAATCATTTAGATTTTTTCTTCTGTTAATTTATCGAAATGATGTTAATTTAAATATATCTTTAGTTCTGACCCTGGCTCTGAACCCCCCCCCCCCCCCCCAAGTTTTTTGTATCGCCCCTGGAGCAGGTGATGCGTGGAGTATAGTAAACAGCTGATAGAACTTTGGACGGACGGGTTCAGTACTAGTAGTGTACACTCTCCGACTCCGTTCTCCAGTAAAGTAATAGTATAAGCTAGGAACAAACCGGTCTTAATAATTTATCAATCTTGCAGCGCGTAATAAACTCTTCAGTGTGAAGGTATTTATAAAAGGTATCGTTTATTTAAAACTGGGAAAAATAGGGTTAAATTAATTTACTGGAATAAGAAATATATTAAATTGTATAAAAATTGGTTTGGTTACTGTGATAAGTGTACTTATAGGGTTTAAGAATCCCGTATTCCTTGTTATACTAGGATACTGTCCCAATCTCTGGTTCTCCTACTTCCTTGTTATAATAGGAAACTATTATAACAAGGAGTAGCCTAACCAACCCCTAGTACTCCTACTCCCTGTTATAATAAGATAGTGGCTCAACCTCAAGTTTTCCTAATCCTTGATGTACTATGATACTGTTCTAACTTATAGTTCTACTACTCCCTGTTATACTATGATACTGTTCTAACCTATAGTTCTACTACTCCCTGTTATACTAGGATATTATCCAAACCTTATTTTTTCCTACACCTTGTTACACTATTTAACTCTCCCAGCCTCTAGTTCTCCTACTCTCTGTTATATTAGGATACTATTCCATTCTCTAGTTTCCCCACTCCTTGCTATACTAGGATACTGTTACATCCTCTAGTTTCCCCACTCCTTCGTATACTAGGATGCCGTCCCAACATCTAATTATCCTACTCCTTATACTAGGATACTGTCCAACATCTAATTCTCCTACTCCTTCTTATACTAGGATACTGTCCCAACATCTAATCTCCTACTCCTTCTTATACTATACTGTCCCAACATCTAATTATCCTACTCCTTCTTATACTAGGATACTGTCCCAACATCTAATTCTCCTACTCCTTCTTATACTATACTGTCCCAACATCTAATTATCCTACTCCTTCTTATACTAGGATACTGCTCCAACATCTAATTCTCCTACTCCTTCTGTTATTAGGATACTGACCCAACATCTAATTCTCCTACTCCTTAATATACTAGGACACTGTCCTAGTTCTCCTAATAATTTTGTATGAGATCTATTTCCCGTTTTTAGAAATAGTATTAGTATACTACGTTTCCAACGTGGCTACTTGGGGTCGTTGAGGAGTCATGGTATTGAACTAGGGTGCGGGTGGGTGGATTATAGGGTGAACCCAGTGTGTAGTCTGGGGGACGGAAGGGGTAACTGCAGTTAGAATTGAGACTGAAGTACACACAAAGGAAATCAAGCTTGAGTGTGTAGTATATACTGTACCCCTAGATGTATACAAGAAACAAGATATCTTTTAATATCTTGAATCCTTATATATTCAGGCTTCATAACCTATTTCAAATGTATGTGGGGTAATCTCTACTTGATTAGAATGATTTGTATACTTGAAGATAGTAGAACACCTATAATATAATATTTCGGAGGAGAAACGGAGTCTTTTTAACTGTTATTTGATGAGCCTGTTTTTAGCAATGATAAGCCAGGAGCTGCCGACCAAAGCAGTGTCGAATGGGATGTTTTGTTTTATCCAATCCTGTCCTTTTAGGATTTTGCCCTATTTTAAGCATTAGTTTTTAATATTAACAACTAGGTATAATAAGCGAGATCGATGATTATTATGTCAGTCTTATCTAAAGTTGTGCTCGGAGGCAAACAGGAAAAAAAATAGACTGAATAATTCGATAGAGTGATTGAAAGAAACCTAATTAATGCCATAGTTAAATGAAACTAAAACCTGGTACGATTTCTATATATATTTTTATGATATTTTCGCGGATTTCAATGATTGTAAATTATAAACAAGATATTATAGTCTTAATGCTTAGTGGATGAACATATATGTAATCACTTAGAGTTTAAACTTGAAGTAAAAAGTTACATTTGAATAAACATTCTGACCTGAAAACTTTAGAATGGTGGATATCGAGATCAATGCTTGATCTCCTCTGTTTCTTAATCTCCAGATTAAATATTGATTGTTCTCCTCTTGTTATTAATCTGCAGATTAATTAACAGATCGGGATTAAGGATATCCCATTCTAAAGTTTTCAGCTCTGGACAAATAGAAGTAGTATGCATATTTTCTCAGTAATAAATTTTGAATTGACGCATTATTATTATTATTATTATAGTCATTAAAGAATCTCATATTTGTGATCAATTTCCATCGCCTATTGAAAATGTATAGGTCCATGCTTAATTAAAATAATATTTACCCCTAGTACACACATTCATGCAAGATGGTGGACTCTACACACTCTACAGCATAAACTACTTACGTCAGCTTTCTGTTTATGTATGTTAAAGTTTTTTAAACAATTTTTAAATGAATTCGCTTATTGACAAAAAAAACATGAATAATTGTTGTGACAAAGACATGATTTATAAGATTTAAACTTTAGCGACTAATCTATGATAAACTCTTCAGTGTGAAGGTATTTATAAACG